TTTATAATCGTACCACATACCCCCTACCCCCGCCTGCGCCACTGTGTCACACGGGTGGCGGCCCCCCCCCCCCCCCCCACACACCCCCCCCCCCCCCCCCCCCTGTCGGCACTTTTGCCGCTACCTTCACCACGCCTCCCACTACACGAAAGAGAAAGGCGGCTGAGGCGATTGCGGACGAGGCACTGCCAAAAGCCGCCCACGGCTTCCGGAAACTCAATACATCCGACAGGTTCTCCCACCAAAGCGAGTCAACAGCGACCACAACAGAAACCACAGAAAAAGAACGTCTCGGAAATTCCGACCTAAAGAACAAGCCCCCTGCGACACCCACTACCGCCAGCATGGACTCTGACGATGATTTCATGAGCGACGTCTCCAGCCAGGATGATTTCTTGGGTACCCAGGGCTCTGACGATGAGAGCTTGGGTGAAGGTACATGCCTGATCTTGCGTTGTTTATGTTTTGTGCGACTGTGTCTCGAGTATAGTGACTAACAGATATGCCTTGGGGAGCAGACTTCGATGATCTCGACGCCGGATTCTCGGACGATAAAGACCTCATTAAACATAAAAAGAAGCCATACGAAGTCGAGTTCAAGGTTCTTGCTCCTGCAGATATCGATCACGAACAGCTTGGCCAGGTCAACGAGGTTTGCGCCATTCTCGGACTGCCGCCTGAGTCGGCGGCGATTTTGTTACGGTTCGGCCGGTGGAACAAAGAAAAGTTGATCGAGTCTTATATGGAGCATCCGGAGCAGACGCTGGAGGAGGCTGGTCTTGGATCGAACTTTGAGGGGACCGCGAAGACCGAGTGCATCCCGGGCTTCATGTGTGATATCTGCTGCGAGGACGGTGATGACCTCGAGACGTATGCCATGCGTTGTGGTCACCGATATTGTGTCGGCTGCTATCGGCACTACCTGGCGCAGAAAATCAAGGAAGAAGGAGAGGCTAGTCGAATCCAGTGTCCAGGCGACCGCTGTAATCGCATCGTGGACTCTAAGTCGCTGGATCTGCTCGTGACAAAAGAGCTTCAAGGAAGGTGCGTGTTTATGCAGGCAATTCTAGACGGAAGCAAGAGTTCGCTAACACATCTCTCACTACAGATACCGTGAACTTCTAACTCGAACATACGTTGACGACAATGAGAACCTAAAATGGTGTCCCGCGCCAAACTGCCAATACGCCATTGACTGTGGGGTAAAGCAACGTGATCTCCGTCGCATAGTTCCCACAGTGCGATGTTTCTGTAAGAATGAGTTCTGCTTCGGCTGTTCCCTCAGCGACCACCAGCCCGCTCCATGCACCCTGGTCAAGATGTGGCTACAGAAATGTGAAGATGACTCCGAGACGGCCAACTGGATCTCGGCAAACACCAAGGAGTGTACCAAATGTAACTCGACGATCGAGAAGAACGGTGGCTGTAACCACATGACGTGCCGCAAGTGCAAGTACGAGTTCTGCTGGATGTGTATGGGTCTGTGGTCCGAGCATGGCACGAGCTGGTATAACTGCAACCGCTACGAAGAAAAGTCAGGCGCGGATGCTCGCAGTGCTCAAGCCAAATCACGTTCCTCCCTGGAGCGCTATCTGCATTACTATAATCGCTATGCGAACCATGAACAGTCTGCCAAGCTCGACAAGGACTTGTACCTGAAGACCGAGAAGAAAATGACTAGCCTTCAGTCACAGTCTGGTCTGTCCTGGATTGAGGTGCAGTTCCTGGACACCGCGTCGCAGGCCCTGCAGCAGTGTCGCCAGACCTTGAAGTGGACCTACGCCTTTGCATTTTACCTTGCGCGCAACAATCTGACCGAGATATTTGAGGATAACCAGAAGGATTTGGAAATGGCCGTTGAGAGTCTCAGTGAGATGTTCGAGAAACCAGTTGCCGAGTTGGCAGGACTCAAGGTCGATATCCTGGATAAGACTACTTACTGCAACAACCGCCGGGTGATTCTATTGAGTGTCACTGCTGAAAACTTGAAGAATGGTAAAGGAATCTTAGATATCATCTGAGTACATTGCTAACACCTGTTGCTAGGAGAGTGGACATTTAACATTGATTGGTAATTGACAAACCATCTTCAGCTTTCTCTCGCCGGAGACTCCGGACGAGATCTTGACGACGTGAACGACATCTATTTTTTTACAAGTTCCAGCATACCTTTTCCTTTCTCCATCATCCTTGACCATTAAACCGTTGAAATCATCGCCCTTGCACTGTTTCGCAACAGCAACGGCCAGATCTATCCATCTCCAAGGCTATCATAGGCATTTTTTTTGTCCCGCTTCCTCGAATTGGCTTGAATAGCCTGCATGTATCCTCATTTGATGGGGGCTTTTTTTGGGAGTGTTTTTCATCAGATTTCAGCTTCTCTTTCCTCATTGTTTTGAGTTCAGGCGCAGCGGTCTTTTACAGAAATGATTATTCTCAGGTATTATAGCAGGGTGAAATTCCCCCATTCAACGCACCTTCCCTTTGACCTTACTAAGCGTAGTGACTGCCCACATACGCTCCTACACAATATAAAGTGACTCTATCAGTCTCTAAGACAGCCCAGACTAATATACACCGCGTCCGACCTATCCCATGACTTGAAGTGCAAGGTTTTCCCGTGAGAAACAGGGGGCCGTCAGCAGGAACCAAGCCAATATAGCAGACCAGATGAGTTTAGTTCGCGGCTTGTAGGTCCACCGGGCCTCGGCATGCCCCAGTCACAGGTCGCGTGTTCTGCTTTCCCTTTGTCTGCCAAGTTCGTTGAAACGAGAGCCAAAGTTAATAATGCAATATGACATATAATATCAACCAAGCACACCCGGGTATGTATGTATAAAGGGGGTGGGTTATCGGGGGTTCCAATCGAAAGAAAATCCTTCTCGAAGACCAGGAAGAAGCCAAAGCTCCACCCAACATGAGTTAGGCGAAATGTGGTCAAGGGCGAAGACGGGTTTGTTTAGTAGCCATCTTATCTGATTGATTAAATCAGGTACCTGCGGCGTACCTGTACCGTTGGCGCTACACTGCGAAGGTACTGGTATGGTACTTTACATAAAAATTTAAGGTGCTGGCACCAGGATCTGCCCCCTAAACTCCGTCATCGGAAGTTTCGGAGATTTTTTACTCTTCCATTTATCGGTACTTACTTGTACGGGGTTTGACGCTATACAACATAGGCCTTTATTCTTGCCCGGAGCTGTACGGAATACGAGTTATGTAGTTCGGCCTTTTCTTGTGGTCGAGTTAGTCCCGAGGCATGGACGCATGGAGCAGCTGGAGGCCCCCGGAGTCTGGCCGCCGATTCTGAATAAGCCATGCATACATTCTCTAGGGCTACGGATTCCCTCTAAGGGATTGAAGTAAGGAGAATAAGTAATATAGAATGAGAATAGGTAGCAAATAGGCTCTAGCAGTCAACAGAACAGCAATAATAAGGGTTTTTAGAGTATAGAATACCTAATAATTCTAATAATCAAGCTGGGTGGATAATTTTCCTAGCGCCGTTTCCTGGTTTTTGTGTCCAAAACACCTAAATTTCCAATTATTTCCAGCTATTCCGTTGAAAGGAAAAAAAAAAAGTTCTTCTTACATTTCTTTGTTCATTTATTCTCCCATTTGGTTGGCTTTTTGTTCTTGTCGTCTCGTGTTGGCATTGTGCTGTTCCTTCCTCGGGATCTCTAACCTAATCCCTGTTTATCTCATCTTCACTTTTCCATTCCTCCGCCCTCCGCCGCAGTCAACTACCCTCCCTTCCTCTCTGTACGAACTCTTCATCTGCTACAGCTGCGCCTTGAGCTAGCGGAAGCTCCATGGCGGCTTCCGATCAAATCCCCGGGCAGGAATTCGAGTATGTCGCTCTTAGATCGGTTTTTTTTCCCCAGGCAATCGGGCATCGGGATCGCGGGAATGAACGAACACAGGGACAAAATCATCTTATTTTCGAGTGATATGATCTGCTCTGGCTATTGCTCGATTGTCCCTGTTGAGCATCCTGCTTTTTTGTTTGCCCTGTTGTCGCTCTGGAATTCAATTGTGTGGCCTAAGCTAATGCGATACACTCTGTTCTAGCTATGAAGCCCTTCCTCCCAACTATGGCCTCAGCCGGAATATGCTCGCTGGTGCTTTCGCCGGGATAGCAGTATGTTCACATGGCTGTCAACGGTGTTTGAGGATTTTGGCTGATCGGATTAAAGGAACACTCGGTCATGTACCCTGTTGACTTGCTCAAGGTAAGCTTAATTTTTGGTTGAAGGTGTTAAGACTTGGAAAAGGACTGAGCGCTGACTTGCAAACATCGCTAGACTCGCATGCAAATCCTGACACCTTCCGCTGGCGGTCTCTACACGGGATTGACCAACGCGGTCTCTACAATCTATCGAGTTGAGGGCTGGCGGACACTATGGAAGGGAGTCTCGAGTGTGATTGTCGGCGCAGGTGTGTATATCGCGCGAAGTCCCGGGTTAAAGATTCAATTTCTGATTCGCGATGATAGGTCCCGCACACGCTGTCTACTTCGGTACATATGAGATTGTGAAGGAAATGGCTGGTGGCAATGTCGACGATGGACATCATCCCTTGGCTGCCGGTAAGATTTTCGGAACTGTTGAATTGATATACTTGTGCAACAACTGACATGATATCGTGCAGCTATGAGTGGTTCGGCCGCTACCATTGCCAGCGATGCGCTGATGAACCCATTTGATGGTAAGTGACCCATGTGGCAATAAACCATGCCCAGCTAACTCCTCTCCAGTTATGAAGCAACGTATGCAGGTTCACGGCTCAGTTCACAAGAGCCTGGCGCAATGCGCCAAGACCCTCTACCGCACCGAAGGTCTCCAGGCCTTCTACGTCTCCTACCCCACCACACTTTGCATGACCGTGCCCTTCACGGCCACTCAATTCGTTGCCTACGAGTCGATCTCGAAGGTCATGAACCCCAAGAATGAGTACGACCCATTCACCCACTGCATTGCAGGTGGTCTGGCCGGTGCCTTCGCGGCTGGTCTTACCACTCCCCTTGATGTCGTAAAGACGCTCCTTCAGACCCGTGGCCTCGCCGAGAGCGCCGAGGTGCGGTCTGCAAAGGGTCTGTTCAACGCCGCTGCCATCATCAAGCGCCGGTTTGGTTGGTCTGGCTTCCTGCGTGGTATGGGCCCTCGGATTATATCAACTATGCCGAGCACTGCAATTTGCTGGTACGTTCCATTCCGAGACTCGGTTCTTTAATATCTGATCTTTACTGACTGCTTCTCCAGGACATCTTATGAGATGGCTAAGGCATACTTCAAGAAGCACCTCGACTAAATGAACGACTTGATCCTCTCGCATGTGGCTCGCCATGGGTCCCATCCCATGGACTTGCTACTTGTTCGATATACCACGTTTGTGTGTGCATCATATAATCTTACTTTGGTCTCTTCGGGCGACATGGGGTCTGTTCTTTTACAATATGTTATGGATTGGGGAGATTGGGCGGAGCCCAGCAACCCTCATTGTGGCGCATCCCGAGCCAGCATCGCTCGGGGTTTGATCTTGCATGTTTAGGGCTTTTCATGAAAAGCGTTTCGGCAATGTATAGTTTTGGGGGAAACGGGACACGGCCACTTTCGACTTCGGAGAACAAATCTGGTGCTTTTCTTTCTTATTCCTGGATACTTCAATGAATCTCTTCCATTCGATGTGTCCTATACTGTGACCGGCGTTGGAAAAACTCTGGTTCTTTATTTTTGTTTCCTGAGAGGGCTGGGTTCTCTTGTGGCATCACTATAACTTATGTTTTTTTAGTATCTTGCATGTACCCATAGACGTTAGGAATTAGAGATGATATCTTTTACTCAATTGATTTGTATAAAAATGCGACGATGTAGCTCACTGGACGCATGCAGTTAACTCCGAAATCGACGACGTCACGCGAAAAATCCTCCCCCTCCACCTACGGGAGATCATCGCTTTCACCAACTCCGCCAACTTGTCCGTGAAATGGATACAGGCGGGCCTGTATATTCCAAATGATGCGCCCACGGCCTGCGGATTCCTTGCAGAAGACGTACGACGAGTGCTATCTCGCGTGCTCCACCGCGGTGTACTTTGAGGGCCAGGTAAGTTCACTAGTCCGACTGCCGCTCCCCGATGCTCACTGTATCAGAACAACGAAGACGAAGCATTACGGTCCTGGAGAACCGCCCTCGAGACTGTCTACCATCACAATGCCCGTCGAGTACCGCCGAACTATACCCCGAAATCCGAAACCGAGAAAGCCCTGCAGGACTCCATCCGGGCGCTGGAGGTGCAATGCCGGGAACGAGTCGATCTACTGGGTGCTCTACAAGCCAGCAGGAGAGAATCTGCAGATGGTAGTAAAGAGAATGGTCCCCATGTGAAGGGCAAGTTAGCTATCATGCCGCCGCCATCGACTTCCAACACCCCTGGCTGGATTGGAGATGGAACAATCCCTGCTGTGGGATACACCGACCTTTCCAAACCAGCCGCCATTCCCGGTCGCCCTGTGCTGCCGAGGAAACCAAGCCATGAGCCACCACCAGCTTACGACGATGCTGGTCCAGCGACCCTCTCGGCAGCTGGCACGCCTGCACTGCGCGTGAACTCGAACTCTTCGGGCAAATCGAAGTCGCGTGGCTCCAGTCCCGAGCACCGGAAACCCATGTTGACAACACTGCGTAGCAGCGACGGCAAGAAGCACAGTAAGAAAGTCAAGGTCACATCAAAGAAGAAGGACTTGAGGCCTGCTGCTTCCACAGCTGCAGGCCTAGCATGGGGTAGCATCTATCGCTCTACATCGGGTAAGAAGCCTGTGAGTGATGCGGCTCTAGTCTCATCCCGACAAAGCGCCGCCCACGATCCTAGTTTCCGCCGAGAGTTAGACCCGAAATCTAGTTCGGGAGACGAGCCTCTGCAGCCGAGAATTCGCCTCTCCCGAGACCATCTATCCGCGGACCACATCCCTGCTACCCATTGGCGCGAGCCTCCTAGTTCATCATCTCCAAGGAGATCGTCTCCCAGACTACCTCCTCAATCGCCTAGTCAGCTGCCGCCGCCGCGGGGTCCTCGA